AATTGGTCTTTTGCCTAAGTTGGGAGAGGGAAGTCAGCAGTAGCTGAATCTTTCAAGGATTATAGAAAACTGCTGGAGGTGGCAAAAGATCAGCTGATTTAATAAAGATTCTACAATATTTAATGCTCTGAAGTCTTGCCATGTTATATCCAAAACCAAATGAAGAAATAGTAAAGACTTAAGGATTCCAGCTGTGTAAAACCCTGGAGGTGCAGTGAAGATCTGAAATTTAAATATTCTGCTATTATTTATTTCTTCACCACCAAAACCAAATCGGAGTTGAATTTGGTGGTCTGGTCATATTTCTTTGGGTTTTGTTCAGGCTCCTTGCAGTCCAATTACCAGAGTTAATAACACATTTCTCTTAGTCTTAAGGATGCAGACTAGGAACAGGCGGGAAATCAGTCATTCTTCTGCTTAGAGTAAAAGATGGTTTCCTGCTGGAGAAGCAGGACTGTGTTTAAGACATATGATCCCAAAAATTCATATCTGTGCCAGCTGTTTTAGATGTGGGAAATGCATGTGCTTTGCAAGGAATGAGACCGGTTTCCTACATTAAGTTGGGACTGCTGGGCCAAGCAAATGAGAACAATAAATCTAGATTTTAATTAAAAAAGTTTAATGTCTTCAGATACTTTAAGTGGTATAAAAGCAATTTATTTCTTCTATATTTTGTGTATATGTATTATGCTGTACCATTAATTTAAACAGTCTGGATGTAAAAACGTTTTGGTAGTGTGACATTCTTACCAAAATTCTGTGGGTATTTTTCAGGCAGAAAAAATGCTGACCATTTTGTGGTTTTTTTGGAAATCATGCGTAATTATGTCATTTAGCCACACAATAAGGCTTTCTGTGGTAATGTTTTAGACAAACAGGAAAACTTTTTTTTAAACTTTGTTTTCATTGCAGAACTGTCTTTTTATTTTTAGTGCAAAGTTGTTTGATTATTTTCTTCAAGAATAAAACACAACATGTTCTGACAGGAAAAATACATCATTAGTAACCTTCTAAAAGCTCTTTTTCATTGTTGCTTCCTGTCATGGCACATTTTCTCAATTTTTGGGAAATACAGTGTTTTATATCTGACGTGCCTGTGTTGCCAAGAAAGTGATGTAAATATAAGCCATTTATATAGCCCTAAGGCAGATGATTTCTTCATTAAGGGCCCTTCTCCAGGGGAATTTACAGGAAAGTTGAGATGAATACAATAATGGTAGGAGGCTAACATGGCTAAATTAAAGGACATTGGATCCCAGTACAGAGGCACTCTCTCAGGAATGGCCCTCAATTGTGGTTGCTTTATCCCCTTCTAGTGAGGGGCTGCTTCATGCACAGTGCAGCTTTATGTGGGTATTTGTTGCTGTCAGCGGTCCTGGATGTCCCAAAACATAACATTGGACATCAGTTTGCCAGCTTAATCAAGACAAAAAGCACAAGATAGGGTAAAACACCTCATACTTTCTTCTGCTTGGAGTTTTTTTCTTCTGCCTTTTCATTATGTAATGGTGGGAGATAAAGGATGAAGGACAGGAGGATGTTTTCTGTGTCACAAAACAAGAGCTGAGTTGCTCACATGGGGCTCCAAGTGTGGGCAGACCCAGACCTTTTCTCAGCATACTCTGAAGCTCATTCTTGTTGATTTTGCCTTGTTTATTGGATTCTTGTATCTCATTTGTTTAAGAAATAGGTGGTATTGCAGGTAGCCTAGGATGCCTCTGAGTAGACCTGAGAATCCAGTAGAACAAGTGGATATTTTCATAGTTTCCGTAGTGTTGAGACAGCAGTATCTACTGTACTTACTTTAAGAAGAGTGCAAGTAGAAAGGAAACCAAAAGCAACTTACAAATAGTAATAAGAGAGTTATAAAAATCTTAGAATATTGGAAGAATTAGGGTGGAATGGAAAACTCTCCCAAGTACTCACTGCAGAGAAAAATGGATGAGAAGGTTTGTTTCATCCATCAGAAGAAAATTCCTCTATTGCCTGTGCCTGAGAAAGCTGTAGCTATGTCATTTGTAGGAGAGAGCAACAATTAATATAAGAGATCTCCATCACATTCAACTTCTCATTTTTCTTCAGTAAACCAATCTTGGAACTTGTGCTTGTGGAAAAACTTGTTGAAAGTCATCCCCCTGAACTATGAGAAGAGGTGTGACTCCTAAGTGAGAGTCACCACCTGTGCTGGACAGATAGGCAGCATGTGTTTTGTTGGCTAAGACCTGTGCTCTGATACGATGCTGGTTTTTTGTTTGCTTTATTTTTGTAGGTAGTCCAGTGACTACTTTCATGGGAGGCAGATGCAGGCCTAAACAGATCAAGTCTCCTGGTTTTCTGAGGTACTGTTGGTGAATTGTGTTACAAAGCAAGAGCAAAGCTTTGCCAGCTGGGGAGTGATGGATTTGTCAGCTGCGTGTTTGTGCCTCAGTCACCTGAGGCAGGCACGAATTTCTGTGTCCTCAGATGGTGGATGGAGCATGGAGGCTTCCCAGGAGGGCTGGAGGCTCTTTGTTCTTCTTCCCTCTTCCCAAAAGAGTGTATAGCAAATGTGGTAAGGCAGGGCATTAGCTTTATCTTGAGTGTGTGGTGTGGCAGAGGGAAGAGTGTAGGAAGCTCTGGAGAAGTGACATTTTAGGTCTTTGAGCCTTTTAAAAATGTGTAGCTTCATGTACATTTGCTAATGCAGTAGGCAGTGATGGGTAATATACAGACAATGGCAATAATCATAGGTTAGAAAGGAGATGTTTTCATTATATTTACAGAGCTCTGAGAGAACAGGAGAAAATAGGGCTAAACCTTCACTGAAGTCTCTCAGAAAATAATCAGGGATACCTGAGATCAAGCCTGACTTTTGGTCTGTCTTAGCAGTTGCTCAGCGTAGTGATTCATGTGCCAGAGTTTTTGGCTCTTTCAGCTTAATGTTGGTGGCACAATTCAGAACTGTAAATATTTTTAGAACTTAACCTAATATTGCCTGGGCTTGCGCTACAGTCTGTCTAGAGAATATTGCAGAACCAATTATTTTAAAAGAGTAATAATTTTATAATTGTCTTCTCGAAAATAGTGGCAAGAACAATGGAGACTATTATATTGGAACGTTTAAAGGTTAAGGTTTTGCCAGCTAACGGTAACACTTGATATTGATCCTGCTTGAGATGGTTAAGAACTTTATTTTGAGCTTTACTTTTTTTCTTCTGCTCTGTATCATCTTATGTTCTGAGGGTTGTGTTCACAGAAAAGGTGGATGTCATTACACACTATATAATACTGCAAAATGAAACTGTGTTCTAGACAATAGTTTTTGTGTGTGTATGATTGCTGAAATAATAGTTTTAATTCTGGTTTTCTAAATATTCCATTTCACTGGATATTCTTTCTTTCCTTTTTTCCCATTCAGATTTTGTTTGAGAATTGGTCTGCTCTATTAGCTGGCAAAATCTAGTATAGCATGTGCTTTTTGTAAAGAGAGTGTTCTAAGTGAGCTGTGAGAAGCTTTATACCCAAGTGTGAGATGTTTTTAAATCAGAACTGGTTTGTTTTAGTTAATTTTTAACCTTAAATTAGCCACTTTATTCTAAAGTTTGTGACAAAGCATATGGGGTATTGTCCATTACTTAGAATTACTGCTGATGTGTCAAAAAATGGTAACTTCCTTTGAAAAACCTTCTGCTTCATTTTGATAATTTCTTTTAGGAGGCAAAGACAAACTAATGGGTGAAGCATAAATAGTGCTGGAAGAGAGTGTGTCTGCAAAACATTACTGAAATTGGCAAAGAAGTATTTAGCAGAAATATATTTGTGTTATGGCATTTGTCAATCTTATGAATTTATGTTTTGTTAGTGCAGAACCTTCAAGTTATGGAATTTTACCTCTGAGGAGTCTATCTCCCTGAGTTCATCCTCAAATTGTAGTGACTTAGTACAGTCTCATTAGAATTTTGTGGTAGAGCAAAAAAATGAATTCTTTCTGAAAAATGTGAGTGGGTGGTGGTGGGGTGGTGTTGTCTTGAAAACCAAAGCAAAAAATTCTTAAGGCCTTCCTTGCTTGCCATGGAAAACTAAAAAACAGAAGAAAAACCATCCATGCAAACATTTTTCTTTTACCAGTTATATTTTAAGACAAATAGTTTGAAATACAGATTTATATATGTAAATGATATATTCAATGGTATCAGTGGTAGCTAATATCAGTACATAGTTTTTTTGACATATTTTAGTTTTGTCCATTGGATAGGGTTTTTTTAAGTATAATGAGTTTCACTGTTGTATCCTAAGCAGTGAAATTAAACTATTGTCTTAAAAGTCTGCATTTGTGTTAACTCTACCAAAATACCTTTTGAATTTAGTGACTAGCCATTATCTCAGTAAGATGTATGTGTTTGTAGCATCAGTTTTTCCTTTATCTGTTAGCTGCTCATTTTATTGCCCTATAGGGAATGATAAAACGTTTTTATATGAAATACAGTATATTGATGATGATAAAACATGAAGAAGGCAGGCATTTTTGGAGGTTGGTAGAGACTGAGAGTCTATTCTGTTTTGAATTGATTTAGATCTCAAGTTGGCAGTGAATTTTAAATAACAGCTTTATTTAAGTGTCTTTCACAATCACACTATATTAATACTATGTAATTGAGTTTGAGGTTGGCCCAGTAGACAAATGCATTCCATCCTCAAGTTTTGCATTAGCATGTAATGAATGAAAAATGAAAGAAAATGGCTTGAAGGGGTTTCTTGCCTTTCTGGGTATCTCAGACATTTTGATGTTAGACTTTTTGTCATTTTGCTAAAGTAGACTTTGTTGAACAGGAGATATCCAGAAAGTCTTGCATTGATTTGCTTTTGTTTTTGCTCTTTAGACAGTGCCCTGTTATAAACTAAAATCACACATTCCTGAGTGTAAACTGATCATGTTCCCAATGGAAATTTCAGGAATACTTGTGGCTACTTTCAAAATGTGGAAATCTATTTATATTTTTTCCACTTGTTTTGCTTCCTAGGTTTTGGCACTGATTGCATTCATCTGCATAGAGACCATCATGGAATGTTCCCCTTGCGAAGGCCTTTATTTCTTCGAGTTTGTGAGCTGTAGTGCATTGGTGGTTACTGGAGTTCTGTTGCTTATGTTCAGTCTAAATCTTCACACAAGAATACCACAGATCAACTGGAATCTTACTGTAAGTTCATACAAATGCTTGCTCTGTTAAAAATAGTAAAATTAGCTGCAAATCTGTTTATAAGTTCAGTCTTTGACCTTTACTTTCTACAGTTGTTTAAGATTGTTTATGACTTTTTTATGCAGAGGAAGGTATACATTTTGCTTGTATTTATTTTGACTACTAACAGCAGAATAAGTTTTGAAATGTAGCAAGATTAAAATTGTCTTCTGGTAGATTCTCTTTGGAAGGAAAAACTTCCTGCTAATGCCAGTAATTACTGTTTGTGGATGAAGTGGATAAAAATGCAGCCTGTAGTTATTTAACTTTAACAGATGCTGTATTTACAGTTGCATGTTGTTCTCAAACTGTTTTTTTTATATTAGGACAGCTGAGCTACATATTTTCTTACACAGTTTAATACAGTACAATCATTGGGTATTAGTGTAAAAAATTATGTGCTCTCTGTGGAAATCAAGTGTTTTGAATTGCTTACACGTATAACTGTTGAACATTGACTGGCAATGCTTAATGTGTTCTCAAATACAAGGAGTTTTAGGAAGAGAACTGCTGGCAGTGCACATTCCTTTTGTACAAGTCTCTGTTTCCATGCTGTATTATGAGTTAAACTTTCAGATTGGGTTGCGTAAACACAGGTCATAAAATCAACATGGTAGTCACTCTAGTAAAAGATCTGTCAGCTTCAAGGACAATATTTACATTGACTTCTTTGGACAGCAAAGATAGTTATGTGCCTATGTTCTGTTTTGTTTTACAGAAGTAATTTTTTAAGTACTGTTAGAGACCAGTTCCAGAGGTTTTTAGGCTTCTCTGTGATTTATTTTTTTTTACATAATTTTTTAAATGTAATTTACTAACATTGTAATTTGCACATTTGCAGGATCTGTTTGTAAGGCTAACTGACCTGTCTAAAATGAGACTGGATGGTCCTTTGTACATGTATGCATGGTCTATTGAGGAACTCTTCTTAGAAGTAGTTGGTAGAAAGCTTAGATGGATTGAGGGGTGTGACTGGTAACTGTAGGTGAAGGAGATCCAGGTGGCTTGCAAAACAAGACCATTGAAACCACTGGGATGTGCCTGGGTTGTCTTGCCTTTGCTCCTTTTGTGTCCATTCTGCCACAGTATTGTCACCACTTATCTTTGTGGCAAATTGAAAAGGAGCAGCTGCAGAGAGAAGGTGGTCTCTGTTTCTGTTGCCAGCTTCTTGTTTATTGAGCATCACAGCAGTCTGACAGCTAATAACAGCAATTGAAGGCCATCTTTTTATACCATACACTTCTGTACATGCTAGATGTACAAGAGCGTGATATCAAGTGTCTATAGGTGCCTCAGTGTCACATAAAATGCATGACTGTTTTGATGGTACGATGCAAGTGATTTCTCAGTGCATACAAGGTCTATCCAGTTTATGTTCCAAGTAAATTCGACCAAGACTTTTTATAAAGAGACCACAGAGTGTGGTGTCCATGACTGAGCTTAAGTTGTACCTCAGGAAGAGTCAGTTTAATTATTTCATACACCCTTGGTTCTGTATGTCAGTACCTTTTGTTCTGTTGTTGAGCCTTGTGGCATGGTTTTGCTGCCTGCCGGAACACTTTGGCAGTATGTTGGACATATGTAAGTACAGAAACCTTAACACAGTTCTCTGTCTTTCCCCCAAAATAATGCATTGGATATCAGCATGTAACTGGTCCTTTCAGCCACTGTGCTGTCTTACTGCATTGAGTGACAAGAATTTCACACTCCTGAATGCTTTGGGAGGAAGTCACTCCTGCTTCTGTATAAATTCATTTTATGCATGCTTTAAAAATATATCTATATGACTTTATAATGGGTATTGCCTTTGTGAAGAGTCTCAAACCTTGCTATTACAAGCTGTGTGAGAAGAGGCTGCTGCAGTGCTTGAAATAATTTAAGTCTTAAATTTGGGAAGAAGTCTGTCTTGAGACAGCACTCACATGAGCCTTCTAGGATCCATTTGAAACCATTTGCTTTCAGATAATCCTACATATTGGGAAATACCAGGCTGTCAACTGATATTGTCCAATACAAGATTGCTTCCTTTAGAACTTTATTACAATTTTACTTCTTTGTAATGTGTTATGGTTATTGTCTGATGTCCGCTATCCCTGGTTGGAATGAAAATGTGGATTGGTGTGTACTAGCATCCAACAGATAAGCAAAATTACTATATATTTTTTTTAATACGTTCTTTTAGCCATTTGGGGAAAGAGCTTTGTTTTTATAATAGTTAAGAGACTTCCTGACCATTTTCTCATTTTTCTGAGGCAAGCATGAAAGAAACAGAGATGGTGAGGCCAGAAAAGAACCTCACTTGGGTGTGTTGGAAAGAGAAAGGTCTGTTACAGTAAGATGGAAGAACAAGCACTTGTCTGTGTTGTGCAGCACTACCAGTATTATGCAAAAATGCAAAAGCTGGTGAACCTGTCAGTGGAAATTTCCATTTCCTTTGTGTGTCACAGCTCAAAGGGAGCTTATTCTGCAGGAGACAAGCAAGTGGCACAGGGGAATGAAAAGAACACCAGAGCAGAGATTCTTGCTTAACTGATGAGCTGCTGCTTTGAAATGTTTAGTTTTCGGAGCTGTCTGTAACAGAATGTTTACTATAATTTTGTGTTTGCCTAAATTATTCCTTTTTTAGTATATAATTCATTATTTTCATCTTACGTGATCTACAGGGAGAGCTTAAAATCTTGCAGCCAAACTGTGTGCATGACATGGCCCACTAGAAGTAGGGGCGGGGTGGGAAAGTTGACCGAAGTGTTTGCAGTGACTTTGGTTTTCTGGTCAGTGTGCATGTGGCTTGCAAGGCTTTTTGGCAATTACTGTCACTGCAGAGTGGATCCACTGTAATTCTGCAGTACCTTCTTTCTCAGGACTGACAACTGAGGTGACATGGGGAGTGGGAGAAATCATGGCAAATAGCTGAGAATACTGGAATTTGACAGTGTCTCTTGGATGAGAGTTTATATGAGGAGAGAAATATGAGTCATAACAGACGCAAATCATTGCATAATCAGCCAGCAGAATGGACTATTTGTGTCTGTGTGCAGGAAAAAAATCCAAAAGATTTTGACCATAGATTTAAAAAAAAAAATTAAGAAATTTATATGTCCGTAGGAGCTCCGGTGAGATATTTTGTGTGTCCAGTTCTGAATGCAGTTTTTCAGCCTTGAGCAGCCTCAAAGATGAGGCACAGAATTAAGCACAGCACATGCTTACCAGAATTCTGTTGGGTTTCTTAGCCTGGACTCAATCCCACGGGAAGCACTGCTTCCTGGAGGAGAAGACTTGAGAAGTTAGATGTGTCTCCCAGAAGGCAGAGATCAGTGGTTGTGTTTTGTGTTGCTTGAACACTTGTTTCATGATCTTTGCAGGGTTGGGTTTTTTTCAGTTGTTGTAGCAATGGAACTGTGTGTGCAAGCAACTGACAATTGAAATGGCAGAAAACTTGATGTGGTGTCACAATGCCAAACTGTCTAATGCCAGTCTTGGCTCAAAGAAAGAACTGAGAGGGAAACAGGCAGGTGATCCTCAAGAAATGAAAACCAATGGTAGAAGAATTAATTCAGGAATGTGTTTTGTCATTTATGGCAGAGTTACTGCATCTAACAGAGCTTGTATTCCAACTAAAAAATAATTACAAGTAAGAATAAAGTCCTATCAGTCTTGGTTTTGAGGCCATTTCTTCAAAATCAGAGCTTGCCCCTGATCTTTTGGGTGCTGACTAGGGTTTTTGAAAGTGGCTTGTGTTAATTCCAGTTTTTTTTACAAACTTTGCTTGAGATACTGGAAATAGAACTGATTTTTGGCTACTGCCAAACACCTGGGACTGGATCGAAGTGCTTTGATAGACACACCTGCAGACTAATACTGGAGACGTTTGGGGGCTGCAGTGTACAATGTGGAACCTGTGGGGACTATGTGGGGGCCAGGCAGCATAGCCCAGTGCTGTGAGGTGGGCACTAGGCTATCACTGTTTGTACAGCCAGAATCCAACCCTCTGGGTCACTAATATATTTATGAAAATGCTGGACTATTTTATCAGAAGGAAGCAATGTCTCTGTGAATCTTGAAGTAGCAGAATCTAGTGTTTGAATAAAGGCATCAGTACCTATGTAAGACTAAATAAATGAGGAGGAAGAAAAAAGATGGTAATTAATGCTCATACAGGTAATTGGGTTCTTTCTACCTAGGATTTATTTTTGCTTGAGAAACCATGTTTCCATTTTTAATTGTGGTGCAAAATTATCATACAATGTTTAATAATATGGCTGTGACTACAGAAGGCTGTAGAGTGCTGTCCACTTTTCTTTTCTAGAAAAGAAAATTCACTTTTACAGCAGAATCATGAAAACAAAAGCCCTGCCTTTTTTTAGTAGAAAATGCTTCCTTGGCATAGACCCATTTTCATCCAGAAGTTAAGATACCTCTTCTGCCTTATGCTTTTTTTGAGTTGGACAGATAGCTGGTGATGTGTCAAGGTTTAACACTTAGCTGAAGCAAATTATAGGCCTTGGATACTCTCCTTTGGACTTAGAGGACCACTGGTGATAGAACAGAATGACTTGCAAATAACTAGGAAGTGACCACAAGTCAGTCGGTCATTTTAAATCACTTTGGAAAGGACAGAGCACAGGAGCAGTCTAGAGTGGATTTGATTCAGCTCATAGATGGCAGCTTTGTACAGAATTTTATGGCACAGCATTCTGTCTCATGAGGTTGCTGTAATTTCAGCACAAATTCTTCTGTGTGATGTGGTTTTTACTTTGTCTATAAATATAATAGCAAGAACTTGAGTTACATCATGACCAGATTTGAAATGGCTCATCTTTTTTCAGTTAGTTTCTTCTTATTGTCACGATTATTTATTTTCTTTTACATGGCAAAAAGCTACATTTTTTAGGGAGTGTCCTTTACTTCTTGAATTCTTGCTGTAGTTCATTATCTCTTGTTTCTGCTCTAACATTGTCCAAAACTATTGTATTTTTTCTTAACTTTCTGCTCTTAGTAGTAAGTACCAAATTTTGGGTTAAAAACCTCTACTGATGTTTGCATCTGTGATATTACCATTATATATCTGTATGACAGCGTTATTGATGTGTTATTGCTCTGTAAGCTCCAAACAATCTGGTACACAAATATAAAAGATACTGTTAGTTTTAGCTTTTTAAGAAACCAGCCTTATTGTATGAATGTGAATAAATTACTTTCATTAAAAAGTTTTTACCTGAGCAGGGAAAGTGGAAGTGCAGAAACTAATAAATTGGAGCCTTAAGATGGAATAAATTCTTTGGGTTTGAATTGTTTGATTCTTTTCAAAGACAAATTTGATATTCTTTGTAAAGAGCACAATAAAATAAAATGCCAGTGATAGTGACAGTTTCTAACACACTTATATATTTGGTTTCCTGGAATAATCTTGTCAAGGGCACCAGCAGTCTAATTTCAGCAGTATTTCATGTTCTGCAGTATCTCAGAGTTTTTTCAAGAAGCCTTCAAGTTAATTTGTAGCATGGAGATAGATTATGTCTGTCATGTTGTGGGTAAGCCTAGCTATCTTGCTTGTACTGTTCTCCTTTTGCAAGATGATTAAGCTGACAGAATGAAAAAGTCAGGTCAGCAGGGTTAATTAATAAGCACATCTGACCCCATAAAACATAGACCATTATGTGTCATTCACTCAATCTCTTAAGTATGGTATTAAGGAAATAAATACAAAACAAAATATGTGTCTGAAAAAACAATCTGGGTTGTAAGAAGTGAAAAGATGGAATATTAAGCAAGCACACCTTTGGTTGTTCTGATGCTTAGCTCCCTTACATTTAAAACTTCATTTTGTGTATGACTTTTGTTTTAACTTTGCATCTGTTTATTTTATTATACTATTAATTTAGTTGTGCTTTTCTATGTTAAACTTTTAAAACAGCAAGTATTTTTTATTATTTGAACACTGGAGTCTTCATGTACACAGCTCAATCCTTTTAATATTCAAAGCAGTTTAGGTTCTTTGATTCATACTGTGGGAAATTTTCTCCTCCTTTCAAATAACTTCTTTGACTCTTCTCTGTACCCTGTCCCAATTTTTCAACATACTTAAAAAAATGTGGATACCGGAACAGGAGGCAGCATTCCAGTGTCCCTTGCAAAGGTAAGATTACCAACTTACACCTATTGTGTCCAAATGTCCGAAGGAATGTATAAGTGCTTTTTCTCCCTTTTTTTGTCATGGCATCACATCTTGAGATGCTTACCTACTGTAATTACTAAACTCTTCTGAATTATTTCTTCTAGGATTTTGTCTCCATTCTGTAGGTCCTTCTTATAGGTGGCAAATATATTCTGATCATAGAATACATAACTTGATCTTGGGTTGAAATAATTTTATTTTTTTATTGTTCAAGAGCATAGCTGCCCTCTCATCAGTATTTAGTTTCAGTATTCTTGGTTACATGTGTTTACTCTAGAGAATTGATGAAAATGTTGAATACTGTTGGGTCTGGTATCTGTTGTCATATGTAGTAAGACTTCCTCTCTGGTGAGAAGTTTGTGCAGATGGGAACCACAGGTCTTGTTGACAATCCCAGAAGCACAGATAGAGCTGCCTAACTCCTGGAGAGGAGGATATTTGGAGAAATTGTGAAATGAAATTTATTTTCTAATATCTATTTCTTAACTTGATACCTGCAAAGCAAGATTTATATAATTAAAACTATTTAATAAAATTTCAATTTTGTTTGATGCAGTCAGTACCAGATAACACCCATCTCAGTAAGCCTGAACAGAGATAAAAAGTGATCTCTCTATGTGCTAGCAGGTGGAAAGATGGTAGGAGTTTGAGACCCACAATTTGCTTTTGTTTTCTTAATATTTGGTAAGACAGTGTAGGTCTTACTGAGCTCAGGAAATTTGAACATGTGGGTGGAAATAGCAGTGAGCAATGGAAGCCTCTCGGATTTCTTGTGAAAGTCCCCCTTTTAGATGAGAATCAGGCCACAAGTGATCCATCACAGTTTATCCCCAGGTACACTTAATTTTGATAATCAGCTGTTGCTGAGTCAGTACCCTCAAAATACATAGTTTTCCCTGTGAATAACCAGAAACTTTTGTTTTTTACAGTTACTTTCTAAAGCATTCTTCAATCATAGCTGGAAAAACAGATGTGTTGGGGGTGGCTGGATGACCATGGTCTCTTCAAAGTCTTTGTGCTATGTAGCTGGAACATGTAGTCGTGGCATTCATACACAGGGAATAAATTTAGATTCCTGTCTTCAGTTTTCTAAGCTTACCTTCTTCCAGCATTTCACAAGATGCACTTCAGGGAAAAGTAAAATAAAAATAAAATTACACTTGTAGTAAGTGGAGGAGCAGGAACAGGAAGTGGGCCTGGCTTGTATGTAAAAGAGTCAAGTAGAACAAGTTTGTTCTTGAATTCTAATTAAGGAGTAGGGATGGGATTTTTTTAAATGGTGGGTGTTGGCATGTTCGGTGTGTTTTTGTTGTGGTTATTTTTGTTTGTTTAACTTAGAACTGTAAGTTGCACAGCAGCTGGGTTTTCTTTCCATCCCTTTTGGCTCTGATAGTATCTACTTTTCACCAATTTCATGTTCATTCAGGGTATTCGTGCCATTTCCTGATTCCTCCACATCTTTCCTTGTTCCCTGACTTCACCTATTCTTTCAGTTATCTTGGTAGTCTTTTATTTCTTACCTCTCTGTAGTGTACGTATAGTCCCATGTATGTTTGTTTCAAACATGTTAAAAAATTGTAGAAGTTGTCCTAAGTGACATACTGAACAGCTATTCCTTAATTAATCTAGTGCTTTCTTATTGTACAGTCTCAACTCTTCAATTCTTTTTCCTTGCATCTGATCAGCTAGTCATGTCTTGATGTAATTATTTTTGTGCTAATAGCTGCCATTCAGAATTCTTACTTACATTCCAATGGTATGCTAATGACCCTGGTTTCTGCAAGGCATGGCAGCATAATAGTCTGAGTACTGAGTGACATATGCACCATATGCATAACTGAATTGCATGTGCCAGTCATTTTTCTGTGCTTGGAGCAAAGCAGGAGTTTTTGTGGAGTGCAGTTGCCTCTGGGTTGTTGCTGTGCATATGTTCTAATATGTCTGCTTGGAACATCAGTTTTATGCAATACATACATAAAAATCTGTGTATTCTCACAATACAGGCAGCTGTTGCTCATAGAAATAGCTGAGACTGTGGGATTCTAAAGTGAAGGCCTCACAGAATTTGTAGAAAAATCAATGACCATTACCTGGGCAGTGCATGGAACACTGTTGTGATGTGAAAGAGAACGAAGGGTTCCTGGGGCACTCAAGTACTGTTTTTAGGTTACTGCAGCGTCCACTGAGGTAGAACAGCTTTACTCCTTGTTTTTACTGACAGTACTTTTCTAATAAACCCAATAGAAATAGAGGTAACACATCCAGAATCTGCACTGTTGCTTTCCATCTACGTGCCATCTGACTTCACAGACTAATGCGCACAGATGCTATGTTGGCTGTGTAATAATCTTTGCCTTCTTTTGTGTAAGTGATGAACTGTATAGCAAGCAGGAAAGCAATGCTATAGTTCTTGTTCTAACCTTCTTCTGTTTCATCACTTCTAATAAAAGCAAGCAAAGAATCATTGTTTAGTAATGCTAATGAATTTATTTTTTAGGATCTGGTCAACACTGGACTCAGCACTTTCTTCTTTTTCATTGCCTCTGTAGTACTTGCTGCTTTAAACCATAAAACTGGAGCAGAAATTGCTGCTGTGGTAAGAATTTGAACTTCTTTCATATAAGAGTCTTATCATCTATTAAAACTAAGAACAATTTTTCCCTTGTGTTCACTGAATATTCCTGTTGCTTTTGCCATCACAATTTACTTGTAATTTTACAGTTGGCTATGAGCTGATTCTGATTTTAAAACTATTTGCATCCTTTGAGTTTTTTCTTAAGGCAAGAACAAACAAAAATGACTTTCAGAGAACACTTTTAACAGTTGAACTTGCTTTGCTGCTTTCCCTATAGATAGCTTAGATGGTACTGCTCTGTATTGCAAGCTTATGGAGAATATATTGCCAAAAATTCACAAGACAATGGAGCTGCTTTCACAAAATTTGCAGAATTCTTCCTTACTACAGCTCGTTCATTTTCTGCGGAGTGAACAGAACTTTACTTCAAGATTTTTAAAATCAACAGTAAGATAAAGCAAATTATTTTAGAGTTGGCAACATTTTTATTTTTTTTTTCCTTTCCCTAGCCTGGACATTGAAAATCATATAGCAATTCTGTAGAAGCATAGGGGGAGAAATGCAAATTAGTTCCTTTTCCAGGCTCATGGTCTGGACTGTTCATCTGTTCTCTTCTTATTCATTCATTATTATGTGTACCCCGAGGAATGAACTGTTGGATGAAGAGCTTTGTTCTTCTTTACAAGAAGTTCTTCCATTGAAGTTGCATTGCAGGCTTTAATTGTCATGTTTGTAGCAGAGAACTTTGTTTTCTGGAATCATTGATCTTAGTCACTTCTGCAGCTTCTCTAGTTCATTGAGGAAGAAAATTGTCTATTTTACAGGCCATGATGATTTGTCAGTGCAAATAAAGTAGAAACCTAAGCTTCTTAGGAATTTGTTTTGAAACTGCTGTTGTTCTTGTTATGAAAAATTGTCTTTGACAATTCTTTCTACTTCTTGTAGATATTTGGTTTCTTGGCAATGGCAGTGTATGCTGTGAACACATATTTAGCTATTAAAAAGTGGCGAATGAACAGCAGACAACAAAACAGTCGGCAGACCAGTGATTACATACGTGCTCGGACAGAGTCCAGAGAAGTAGATCATCGCCCTGAGATTCAGCGTCTGGATGCATGAAAGAAACATTCAAATGGGACTGTAAAGGGAAAAGAAGAAGTGTTTAACTCCCTCATGGAATAAAGGGTTTATTTCCTTATTTAAGGAAGAAAAGGAAGATCAGATGGTGTCAGAGAATGCCCAGCCCTGCACATGTGCAGAGATGCATTGAGTCAACAGCTGTTGTCATGAAGGCAGTAATGTTGGTAATTCAAAAGCAAGATCCATTTAAGATGTCCACATATATATTATATAAGCTATATAATATATGTGTATATATAATATATGTTTTGAAGTATGTTCTTGTTTTGGATTAACTGCACATTATTTTATTTCCCTCTCCCAAATGCAGACTTTCTGCCACTGTTTCTTTGTTGTAAACACTTAAGAACAGCACTATATTGGTTGGTTAATATAGGAAAGAAATCCACCAAAAATAAATTTAATATACATAAAAAGGAAGTGAGAGGCTAATAGCAATAACTTCAGCCATATGTCATGTCCAACAAACTCTGTGTCCCATCTTCATGTAGCCCTGGCAGTGTAGCTCAATTCTTACCTGCAGTATCTCCTGCAGTGTTGCTATTGGTACACTTATGGACAACCATGTCACTTTTTTCTTTGATGGATGTGGTGCTTAGTTACCCTGTGGGTTACTCTGAAGTTGCTCAGTTCGTGCATGGCCTTGGTCAGATGTGAACTGATGCAAAGTTAGCGTGTTTACTGAATGGTCACTGTAATGCATCAAGTGCAAGTTTGTGGTTTTCTGCTGATGTTGGGATACATTCTATTTTTCATTCAAAAATGGGAAAATAAATATACTTGGGAGGCGAGGGGGGACACAGTAGAGAAAGAAGGGGTTGTTATCCAATAGAGTTGCATTCCAGTTGTGGCTTTCTTTTTTTTTTTCCTTTCCTCTTTTCTCCAAGGTTCAACCTTTCTGAGAAGCCTAGGTTAAGCAAGAACTAGCCAAAAAACCATGATGTGCTTGTAAAGTGTTTCTAAGATTGCAATGTTGTGAAACATATTTTCCTTTTTGGGAGGTTGGTTATTTCTTCTAGAAACTGTTGGTAGTAGGTAAAACTGTTGGGTTTTAAAAAAAAATTTTTAATTGCCTGTTTTTGCAGATTTTTTTTCTGTAATATTTATTTGGAAAATGAGTTCAGATAATTGGAGGGATAATATGATTGTTTTGATTTGTCTAGAAATAGTTTTACCTAACTGCAATTTTCTTACTTTAATTGTACTTACAGCGAACAGAGGAACATTTGCTCAAAACCCAAATTTTGCAGTAATCATCTAGATCATAATGTTACTAGGAGGATGTCTGTCCTTGCTATTTTTCTGGTTGTGTGATTAGTGTTTTTATCTATGTAATTAATTATTTGGAACATGCATCCCTGCATGTTACATGCATAAAATTTGTGGGGGAGAAGATATCTAGTGCTGAATTTTTCTGATGTAAGCTGATCAAACCTTTGAAATTAGCAGAACTATACGTCACGCATGCCTGAATTTCTCTCACACTTGAACACTTTTTGCCTTGTGTTTCTGTGTAGCTGTACTTGAAGTGGATGAATGCAGGTGACTGGAGTCTTCAGAAGAAATGGCATTACGTTGCAGATAGGTCACTTTTATATATGAAAACCAGGTTATAACAAACAGAAGATCACTAGAAGTGCCTGGGCTTTTTTAATACTGGAGGAAACTGGGGCAGTGGCAGGTGTGAACCTAACACTGCAATGTTTGAATCAAGTAACAGGGAATTATTTTGATGTGTGAAAACCTGGTGACAAAACCAACGTCTTTTCATTTTCAATTTACTGATGTCTGCAGTGCATTTCACCGTAGTGGCTAAGCTGGAGATTAAAATTCAGAAAGAGTTCCTAACGAGGTTAAGGAAAACTTGTGTTTTCTTAATGAGCAATGGTTTATCAGTTATGCTTATTGTGCTTCATTGAAAGTTAATGACAAAGGGGACACTGGTTTTAAAAAAGATGAAACCATATAAGCCAGCCTCTAGTACTGGGTTTAGAATAGAACAGACATTTTATTGAGGTGGTATGTTGCCAGGATTACTGACAGTTCCATGTTCAAAGTGGTATGAAGTAAGGAAGGTTATTACTGCCAGTACAGTTGTTCTAGCTCTGCTGTTTTTCAGTGCTCTCCCTAGTATTGGCAAAGTTTGCAAGGAGAGTTTCTAGATTTTTGCAGTTATCAAAAGGACCTTTTTAAAAGTAGCACAAGCATACTTATATTGGAATTGTAAACTGGCATTGAAGTAGTTTAAATGAAGATTGATTAAAAAAAGGGAAAAAACTCACAAAAAACCCCCAAACAAAAAACCATCACCAAAATCCCCAAATCACCAACTCAAGTACAGAATATTATCCTCCAGAAGATCCATGCTTTTAAAATGGAACTCTTGTCTGAAATCAAGAAACAGAAGTTAGGTGATGTATATAGAAAGGGCTTTTCATTAGGGGTGTAATCTCTTTGCTGCTGAATGGCAGGGACTGAAATGGTGCACACATAAGAACACCCCCTTCCTCTCCTGTACTCCCTGTGTTGATGGATTTTTCAGAGGAGTGGGAGGTCTTGTGTGTCTCTAAGTTTATGAATTTGCTATCTTACACCTTGCCTAGAAAAAGGATACATTCACTGAGCTTTTTCTGTACTGAGGTAATGAACAGCTTTTGTTACCTTTTAGCTGGATTGATAAATGCAGAGTGATAATTACACTTCTAATACAGTGTAGTATTTTATCATGTGGTACATCTGAATCATACAATGACCTTGAACGCTTTTACATGTGACATAAGTTTTCTTGAGCTGAGAACAGTGTGTCAGGTTTTATTACTTAGGTCATTACTTGAGCTTAGCAGAACTTCCAGGGTAGAATTCTAAGAGAATATTAATTTTAAAAATACTGTCCAATACACTTTGTAAACCAAAAACGAATGTAATTTTGTAATTTCCTTATTCTGGAGACCAAAGACAATTTTAGTCTTGTACAATATATACTTAAAAAAAATATTTAAAAAATCTAAGTTAAGCATTTTTGGTTCTACAGAGACATTTTTTATTTGGATTACATAGAAGGGAAAAAAAGTAGTTGTGAGAGACAACTAAATTTGAAAAATTAGGCTCATATGATATATTCACGGTTGATTCTTCTTGCCCCTGACTTGATTTTACATGGTGTATTGAGGAGGTGGTAATATTTTAAGACTGTTAGACAAAGTGTAGTCATCTTCAAAAAAAAAACCCACAAAAAACCCCAAAAAACAACAACAGCTCTGAAGGAGGAAAATAGGGTTTAAGGTTTACATTTTTTTGAAACTTCCATAGAAAAGTGACATTAAATTGCTTCTCCTCACCAGATAGCATTGCTTGTAATTGCTGAGCATATAGGGATAATTTCTTATAGTGCCCAAGATTGCTGTTTAGCTCCATAAAGGGACTGAAAACCCTCTGTAAATAAAATGAAATTAAAGCTAAACAGTTGAACCTTGTAGGAAGAGGGTGCTTGAAACTGTAATGGTTCTGATTAGTTCTCTTTTGTCACGTTAAGCTCTCTGATATGCAATCTCCGTGTATTTCTGTGTGTAGAAATCGCAGAAAATTTTGTAGCCTGTGCACAGACATTAAACAAGGTATGATTGGTGCAACAGCATCATAATTGATCTATAGTGCTGCAAGTGTTTTTATCTTAATGCTACGTATGCTCAGCTCTCAGCTTTAGTTCAAATTTATATGTTCATGTAATGATGTGCAAACTGCCTACAGGGGGCGTTTCTAAAGCCCTAGAAGATCAGAAAAACTGATTTGATAGTTTAAGTACTTCTTAGTGAAGTTGATTACTTCTTACTCTTCACTTGCTCCTTTCATTTTGTACATTCATGCCTCATCTGTCTTATTATTTTCATATTTGGTTTTTGTTAAGCGTCCTTCATTGGTCTTTATAGTGTCTGCTTCAGTATAAGGAAGAGAAGAATACTGTGTCCAACGTCCTTTTGCTTAGTATGGTTCTCTCTTATGATGGTTTATGATGTTTGGGCTGGATGTGCTGGGGAATATTTCCCATAGGACTTTGCAAGCTAGCTGGTATGTGTTTCTGTGTGAGCTTTCTGGTAAGACCCACATGCTTCAAGGTTGGGAGGATTCATCTACCTCTGTCGTTTTTGAGAGACAAGGTACTGACTCTAGAGATTTGATGCCTGTATTTCAGTCTGTGCTATTCCTCATGGGTTTTGTATTCAGAAGCTGTGCTTTGGAAGCAGCTTCTTGTCCTTTGCTCGTAAGATGTCTCTTAAATATGAATTTAAATAAAATCTGTAATGTGGGGTGCTTTTTCATAGGCTTTGTCACATGTGTTTCACTGTGCATCTTGTTTCTTGTGATACAGTCTACAATCGTTTCATCTGTATTTCATTGATTCTAGAAAGAAGAGGGGAAAACTGGGGAAAGTTTACAATCTTCCCTAAGATAATTTTCTTCTCCTCCCCCCACATTATTTTGTACTATATGATTGCTCCTTCCTAACAGAGCAGACTTACTGATTGTTGAAATAGGCTGGAACACAGCAGAAGTATTTGCTACAGTCTGCATGTGGACTCATAAGAGTGAATTAACCACTAGTTTTCCATGAATTTTTAAGGTCCCTAAGCAAATTTGATATTTGTCACCTTTGTGCTATTTTGGAGATGTGCAGGTACAGCAAAAGCTTATCTGATATGCGGTTCTATTAATACAACCCTTTTTTCCCCCTCTTCCTTAATCCTTCTTCTGTATCTGTTATTTTCTTGTCTCATGACAACTTTGCAAACATTCCTACTTTTTTGTGAGGAAAAAAAACACCAGAACCCAAAATAATTAAGAATAATGTTTTCTTAAGGGCATAATTAAAAAACCCCAAACAATAGGAATTTGAATAGTGTAGAAAACAACGTACGTCCTTTTACTCAGATGAGATACTGAACAGCTTTGTATGTGAAAATCAGAGCCTAAAGAACAAGTTTTACTTTGAAAACTCTGAAGCCAAACCTTTTCAGCTAAATAAAAAGGCAGGTACAGTCTGATAATGAATTTGACATGTGTTAAAGGGTGAGAAGAGAGAGAAACCCAAACTTGATGTTAATAATCCAGTGCTATCAACATGATATATGAACACTAGTACTCCCCAACTGCCGAAGGAAGATTGCTTCTGATGGAGGAGAGTGAGACACCTTGAATCAGCAGTAAAACTAGGTGTAGAAGTGTTTCTTTAGTTCCTAACTCCAGGGCTGTATAATACGGTTGGAGAGACTGAACATTGACGTTGTTAATGGTGCATCTTAAAAGCTGAGATACGCTGACACATCTGTGTTGATTATCAACTTCTGCTCAGCTCAA